GTTCATTTAGCGTCTGGGCGAGCGTCAGCAAAGAGCCAAAAGCAGGGTGAACTGAAGGAGTGAAAAACAGCACCTTCCACTGCAAGCAGTAATAAAGATGGATGGGTGGGCTGCAGGGCAAATGGAAAGTAAGCCCAGAAAGACAAGTTAAAAGCTGTTGGCTGGCGGTCTAATCAGCAACACTACTGAAAATGTGAGGAGTGGAAGCTGGAAGGGACCACTGCCAACAAAAAGAAGCCTTTTCAGTGGATGTCACTCTTTTTCCCCGTGTTCTCTAATCATGCTCAGTCATCAAACCACTAGCTGCAGATGTCATTTGCACCTCTTAACCGCCTGCTGAGGAGCGAGGGCGGGGTGTACACAGTGTACAGAAATTCTCCCAGGTTAGCAACACCTGATAATGGGGTTGGCGAGTAACTGACAGATGCCAGGCTGCGTTTGACCCAGCAGACTTTTAACGGTTTCAGCTGAGAGATCAAACAGCACACGGCCGCCACTACGATTTTGTTTTACGGTTACAAACTGTACGTCTTGTACATGTATATGAGCGAAGCACTGAAGGTCAGAAGTATTTTATTGATCTTTTTTTTTTAATGATGTCGTTTAAGTGTAAATCTTTATGTGGAGTGAACCTTTTCCACAGCCCCTGCCTGTGGGAGATCAGGCAGGACCTCGATTGAAAGTCAGCCCAATCATGTTTTAAGTATCGTCGAGTGCTCAAGGGGGAAAATTCACTTCAGCGGTCACCATAATGCCTCAAATTTGTCATGAAAACCAGCCACCATGTTGTCATTTCATATTGCTTACACGATCTGGACTCGGTGGAAGTGTTTGAAACAGCTTGATTTTTTTTTTTATACTATGATGTTTGTAAAATTAGACGTTAAAAAGTAGTATCGGCTAATCAATGTTCGCAGGTAAAGTGCAACAAAGTCAAGAATAACAGCTGCCAAAATCAACAAAACATTGACTTTATTATTGCTGAAAGTTTTCAGTGACGGTCAGAATTATGGGAAAATCTTAAAGAGAACAATGATGTTTTGTTTAAAAACACTTACTTTGTTTCTGGTGGAGAAGTGGAGCAGGATATCAATCCCTTTCTCCAAACAGGCTCTTAAATATTAAATCAAAGCCAACAGCTGATGACCCTAACGTAGCATAAAATAAAGACTGGAAACTACCGTGGCTCTGCTTAATGGTACCAAATACTGCCCAATTGCACCTGTAAAGCACACTAAATAATCCAATGGTTCTCAAACTGTGGGGCCAGCCCCACTCTTGGGGCATAGACCCCCTGAAGGCGGGGCTTGGAGGACAAGGAAAGAACTCCGAGCTAAAGTGAATGGAGATGGGTTTTGTATTGTAAATAAATTGACGCTATGACGCTGACATTTATTTTACTTTAACATTAAACTTGTTATTGTCACAGACAAGTGGGAGTGATTGAATTGCGTTTGATTCGTGTATTGCTTTCCACCTGCTTTAATACTGATGATTATGTCGGCGGGCTTGTGTATGTTCTCTACAGAGGAAATAAAAAGAGGAGGATGATGGGGAGAAAATGTGTAGTCAGGTCCACAGTAGTGTATATATACCACCAAGGAGAGCAGCCAATCATATTCAACCTTGCTAACACAGCAGCGAATGAGCTTATCAGCAGAAGGGGTAAACAGTATTGAGTCATAACATTTGCCTGGCTCTTTAATCCCCTTCTTACAGTTAATAGGAACCGTACACCAACAAGATGACATTAGCAAACTTGACGGTTGTAAATTCCTGGTCTGATGGGCGGCTGGGTTTGTATACAGTAGTGTAAAACCCTGGGTGTTGGGCATGTTATAAAAGCTTTGAGAACCATTGAATGATCCCTTTTTGATTCATTTTATGGGGAGATTTGCTAAGATGTTTATACCGTTTCCAGTCTTTGCATTAAGCTAACAGCTGCTGGTTGTAGTTTGTTCAGTCACAGTAAGGAAAACAGGTGTTGGAAACTATCGCAGACAAGTTGCACTCATCAGCCCTGACTGACTCAGATTGATTGCAGTCAGTTACCACAATCTGTCTTCATTTGCAACTTAGGCAGCACTTCTGTGCAAGCCTTTGCCAATCTGTCAGAGTGATTGCATTCGGTTGAAGTCGCACCACGACTGTTTGGAGACGGGTTGGGTTCTAATAGGCAACTGGTGCAGTCTCCTCTGAATCAAAAGTGCCCAGAGTTTGAGGGTGCTGCTTACTCAACCTGTAGGCAACCAGTTGCAAAAATGCAACAAAAAAAAAAAAAACTTCAATGTTTTTTTTTTTTCTTTTTTCATAGTCACAAGCAGGTTGCCATCCTATTTTTACTCCAGTGTGACCGAGCCATAACAAATATGAGCTTGCTTTCCACCAGCTGGCAAGCCTGTTTTCTAAACTGTACAACTTGTCTTTAAACACTTCTGACTTTTCAGTACAGGTATTCAGTATGTTCCACCATAATCACGTCATCCCTCTGCAGAGAACTCTCCCACCTCGGACAGAAAAGTCACTTTACAGTGTCGCCATATTGGTTTCACTTCATCTTCGACTGTTGCTTGATGAATGTTTTCTTTGCCAAATAGGTACGTTGTCTGCTGCTTTCCAGCGTAGTTTGCAGGTGCAGATACTAGGTGAAAGGATGCAGTCTGGTACACCCACTTCCACTCTGCATGGTACTTGACCAGGAGTCAGTCCACTGGAACCCAATCCATCATGTACGAGTGCTTTATTTGACCTTGTCAAGACTTAATTCATGCAATCTAAATAAAAAGCATAAGATTCTTATAAATGTCATTCAGATTATGTTCTGTGAGGATGTTTTTATCAAACAAAATGTCATAAGGCCAGGGTTCCTGTGTATTTATTGAATATATTACTGAAAAAGATTTGTTTTTTAAACCGATACTGAAACATGCAATAAACTGTCAAGATATTGTAGTTTAATAGACCTGAAAACAAAGAAATCTCAACCTGACTGTCAAACTTGTCATTGCCAAAGAAAACTAGCTGGTGCCACTGACTGAGAGCTAACGGATGACTTGTTTTTAAAAAGATTAACTTGCAAACAGATAGTGAGGGGACAATAGTGGAGTTTCTTTAAATCCAAATCGCCTGCTCCATATTGCTACTCTTGCTCCGTAATCCCTCCAAGTGAAACATAAAAATGTTGGATCAGGCCTTTTTACCCAAGAGGGATAAACACGGAGCCAGATTTCTAATTAGTGTGGGCGAAAATGGCTGCGCAGAGTCCAAATTTCCACTTTGTGTTGCTGCACTGAACTAGAAAAACCAGCCTGGCTCCTAACCTCATCACGTCTGAACACTTTTATTGGCGCTCCAGGGGCCTCATAATTACCTGGCTGACTCTAAAACAGTCCTCGGGGATCTGTTGGGGTCAGCTGGTGTTCCTCCGGTCCCTGTAGTTCCCACCCTCGAGGATCTGTGGCACAGCTGGTTTTCTGTGGCTCGGAGCAGGATGCATTTGCCTGGAAGGCTGCAGTCACTCTGCTAGGTGTAGAGTTGTGAAAAAGGAAAAAAAAAAAGTGCTCCTGGGTCTGATCCCCAGCTGTGGGCGACCTGCAGCGTTGTACCAGACTGATGACTGATGACAGCGTCAAACATACCATTGAAGGCCAGATGAATGGAAATAAAAGCTCTCAACGTTGTTAAAAAAAATATGACTCTTGTCCTTATTCAGGTGTCTGTTGGAAATCTGCTCCTTAGACTTGGATCAGGACATTTTGGGAAGTAATTATTTGCTCTTTAGTGGAGTTCTGTCAAGGGGGGGAGGTGCTGCATATATTGGCAACCTACTACTTCCCAGAAATTTCCCATTTCTGACCACAATGCACTAATAGTTGGAGTTCCTACTTGGTAAACTTTGGTGGGGCTTCTCAGCTTTGACGTTAATATTTTCCATCATTCCCCGAAATGACAGCTTTTTTTCCAGGTAATAAAACTAACCACCTACCTTCAGGTGACCTTTTTAGCTCTTTGGTGTCTTCAGTTAAGTGAACAACACTTACCTGTTTAACTTCTTACTAATGCAAATATCTCATCGGCTCAAAATAGTCTCACTGTTTTTACGGTTTTCTTAACAAGTCAGAGTGCTCGGTCCTAAAAAGGCCTCCAACGTCACAACCTAACCTCAACCTAATAGAGCACTTTTGGAATGTGGTGGAACGAGAGATCCGCATCATGGATGTGCAGCTGCGTGACGCTATCATGTCAATATGGACCAAAAATATCTGAGGAATGTTTCCTGCACTTTGCTGAATCTACGCTATGAAGAACTGTGCCTAATAAAGTGTCCAGTGAGTCATTTTTCTCAGAAATAAAACACTGTTTGTTCCACTTTGTGCGCAGATCAAAAATTTGTAAATGACTTTTCCCCCCTTTGTGGTTTTTGTGAAAATTAAGGCAGAAACCTTAAGAGATGTGAAACATATATCATGTAGTTACCAGTTGTTCATAACCTGCTACACAAAAATTTGATTTGTCGAGCAGACCTTTATATCTTTAGTCACAGCCACTTCCAGGGCTGCCTGCTGTGTGTGTGTCACAAAACTAACTCAGTGGCCAGAGTTGGGAATGAGAGGCAGGTGTTTGAAGGAGGAGAGCATTACAGCACCATGTGCTGATCTGGAGTCTGGATCTAAGTAAATATTTTAACTATATTTTTACAATGTACTTTAGTAATATTTTTTTTAATGTAATTTTTATGCGAAATGCAGAATGATCCATCTATCCAGCCAGCCCATGAATATTTCATCCCACACTTCGAAAGCAGCTCATTTAAGCAGGAAAACCACAGACCTGGCAACCCTGGATGTTTTCCTCCATTTCCAGTCTTTAGTCTACATTAAGCTGGCTCGGACTGCACATTTGCCATTAAAGCTAACTCTCCAAGAATGCGAACATGCATATATTGGCTCGGAGCAGGATGCATTTGCCTGGAAGGCTGCAGTCATTCTGTTCCCCGATATTGTGTCAATGGTTATCAGTGCTGGCTAAACACAACCTGCACTTTAAAACTAAGTGCACACCAAACTAAAAATTTTCTGTTATTCCTGATTGTGAAAAAAATGATCATCTATTAGAAAATCTAGATAACATCTGTTTTTTATTAAAACCTGCAAAAACCTTTTGAAAACGTAGAAATTGAAATTGGCCCAACAGAAGCTCTAAAGGGACGAGGAGTGGTTGCAGTATTCATAAGTGAGAAGAAGGGTTCAAATCTGACATCACTGGGACAGAGAAAGAAGAATGCGCCCCACACCTCTCGGTTTCAACCAGCAGAAGCAGGGGAAAGGGTTTCATTCACTAATACAAGGGTGTGGCTGTGCAGTCTTCAGCATTCTTATCGGGGGATTTTCTGACTCATAGCTGCTCTTTCAGAGGAGTTTAAAATGGCCTTTGTTCCAGATGAACCCCTCGCCTGGATAATAAGATTTCTCAGTTCTGAACATTTTTTTCCCCGTTTTATTTTAGCCTTTATTTAATAATGAAAATGAGAAAATATGATCATCTCCTTCTTGTGATTTGTTTCGCCACTCAAACTCAAATTACAGCGTACACAGTCGAGGCAGAAACGGCCAGCTTTACTTGGCCTGTGCAGGCTTTTGCATATTCCTCCTCAGCGGGAAGCACCATGTTTCTACATGAATGAACATGGCTGAGTTGTTAGAAGGCTGAATAGTGAAACAGGCTCGATCTGCATTACACAGGAAAGGAAGCTGCTCTTTGATACCGGTGGCATGCAGAGCTGTGTCCAATTCTGTAAGAGACTCGGCAAGCACAAGAAAGAATTGCATTCCTCTCGTCTAAAGTGGCGTCAGATGCATAGTGCACTGAGTTATGCAAGACCACGAGATAAAAAAGAAAATCTGTCTTTGTTTAACGCACAGCCCACAGAAACGACCATAAAACTGGTAGACTAGGAAGAATAACCCAAGAACCTAAAAGGAAAAACCAATGAATGGATCTTGCATAATGTCATGTGCGTGTAAACAAACTGTATAAAGCATAGCTTGTAAGTATAGCTGCAGCATGTTATAGGCCCTTTGTAACAGTCTTCTTCATTCATTGTCTTTTGTCGGTGGCTACGACTGATTGAGTAATGTCTGGTATGCTGGTGGCAGCTGAAATCCAGAAAAGGAAAGAAGGAAGGAGCCTGCTAGTACTGGACCGAGCTCTTTGGTCCAAGATTCAGAGGCGGAAAAATGTCTGGAAGTGTCTTAACATGGTCCTGTAAACAAGGCGGAAGCAGGAGTCAGCCCATCTGTCTCAGAGAAAGGTGGCAGATTAAAGGGTATTCATGCAGTCTGGCAGTTAAGACGAGGAACCCATGCTCACCTCTCACACCTCTATGCAACACACACAACACACATCCCACAGGGAGTTTTCTTGCGCTCCGAAAATGTAGAGGGAATGCTCTTTCTGGAAGTTCGGTCTTGGAAAATCGTCCTCCTATGTGTCGGTGAGGGTGTGCCAGTGGCAGACCTGCTGTCCCTCAGCCTCCTTCATCTCTGTCCAGTGGGCCTGCTGCTCCTCGCTGGTGCTGTTGAGGCCCAGGGAGACCCAGCCCAGCCTCTCCCTGGGCCTCATGCTGCTCCGGCGGCAGAACACCGACACCACTAGTGACACCTCGGACAGCTGGAAGAGCGCCACCTGGAACACGAATGTCTCCTTGTAGATCGGATTGGGCTGGCCACGGCAAACGGCCGTCTTACACTTGGACATCTCCTTTCCCTTTGAGTCCAGCATGGTCAGCTTCACATAGGTGTCTGAAAGGAAGCATTGGAGGAGAGAAGTGAGACATTGCCATCAAGTGGTCGGACATGTGTACTACAGCAGGAGGTACGGAGTGTCTTTTAATAATAGCTCTCAACACCAAGAACGCTATAATTGCCTCACTCCTAAAACTCATGCTGCTGGTGGATTTTTTTTAAACTGTGGAACTCTTTGAAAACTGCAAATGAAGTCCCATTAATCTATTTCATATTTGCTGGCAGCAGATTTCTGAAATATTCTGCACATAAATTATAAATGATGCCAAAGGAAAGTGACCTTTAGAACATGCAAGCAAGTCAGTGCAGGGTAGAAAACTAAAAACTTTGTGGCTTGCGAAGGACTACTGACTGACATGACTGACATTTCTGGGAAGCTACTTTCTTGCCAAGATACTGATCTCTATCAGCTTAGTAAATATGGAGTTAGAGCCTGGAGAAAGTTGGATTATCTCAGAGTAACAACAGGAGAAAACAGCAAACCAGCCAAGGGCTGACCTAATTTAACTAATTCTGTAGAGTCAGTCTAATGCTCCTCTGACTGTGCCACTTCTCATGTTAGCAAGCTGTTCCCTCGATGCTTACATTTGGAAACAGCAAACTTGGTTTACTGAGGTTACTACTAAAAAAACAACTGTGTCTGTTAAACTAAAAACACATTAAACGTTAATAAAAAAAAAACCTAAATGAAATGCACTACATGGATCTGCACTATTAGCCAAAAGTTTCCTACCAATCAAATCTTTAATCCAACAAATGTTTTTGTAACTGACATTCGTTCACCACATTAATGCACAACTAGCTGAGCTCCCAGCTCTAGATTTATATATATAACATAAAGAAGTGAGAGCTGAATTCACCCTGTCTGACAAGAAAGCAAAATGCTGAAGTCTGGCCTCAGAGGACCAAACCTAAGAATGCTACAAACTGGTACCTACGGTGCGTAATGTAGTGCACAAAAGTCTTGATCTACCTCCCATTTCTTTATATTTTGCAAGAAAGAATGAATGAAATGTGCAAATAAATACATGGAAACATGCAGTAAATAAGGGAAATAAAACAAAGTTTGTAAAATTCTAACAAACTTGGTATGACCACCTTTGTTCTTCAGCGAAGTCTGAACTCTCATAGCCAAGCTTTCTTGTAATTTCTCCAAGTAGTCTTCTCCAGGCTTCTTAACAGACGTTTAAAGCTCTTCTTTGGATGTTGCCTGCCTTTTGTTCTGTTCTCTGTCAACATGATCCTACACTGCTTCAATAATGTTGAGGTCTGGACACTGGGGAGGCCATTCCCCATTAAATTAGACCTGCTTGCACTGATTTTCAGTTCGGTTCTTGCGTAATTTGGCATACCTCATCCTTTTCTCCTCGTTTCCCTTCCTTAAGAGTGGTTTCTTGACAGCAACATTTCCACTGAGACCACTTCTGCTGAGGCTTCAGTGAACAGTAGATGAATCAACTCAAGTTTCAGATGCATCTCCTGCAAACGCGGTGCTAGATTTTTTCTTAGTTTGCAAGGATGGGACTCATAGCATTCCTCTGAAAATGGTCAGGTACAAGGACTGGACTGAAAATGAGTGAAAAAGCCTCCAATGCCCAACAAAAAGCTCTGAAGGTCCTTCAGAACGCCTGGAGAACATTGCTCAAGATCACTTTTAAAAATTACAATACAGCCTGGCAATATAAAGAGAAAAATGTAAAGGAATGGGAGATGGGGCAATACTTTTACACAGTTCTACACATCTGTACAACCCTCACCAAATCTACAAACGTACAGAAAGCTTACATTTAGTTTACTTTTGTCTTACCTCTCATGATATAAAGCTGTCCCCCTACGATTTGTTTTACACAACAAAACAGACCATCTGTGGCAGACACACACCATAGCACACACACCATTGGAAAGAAGAAAGAGGGGAAGCAGTTTAAAGATTTCAATATACAGCAGAAGGTCAGCTTTCACGGGAAGCACGGCGAGCATGACAAGCAGCAGGTCCTTCAGCATTTTGGCTTTAATAGCTTAGGTTATTAAAAAGCTGGTGTTCGTGCCAGGAAACGTTCAAATGTAATGATCCTCTATTTGCTTCTGTTGCATGCTGTTGGAAGTCCTGCCCATCTGCTCGGCCCAAACAATAGCCTGACATATCAGCACCCATTGGGGGAAGAGAAGTTTAACTGAACAATTTACAGCGTCATTCCACACTTCAACCCACGCTGGCACAAAAGCCCAAAGTTAAATATATGTACTTACTGACGGGTTTATCAGATGCTGTCGTTTTGAAGTGATTTCCCTTGATTACCTCAGCTGAGAGCTGCCCTGTGGCAGAGTTGTAGATGAGACCCAGGAGGATCTCGGGTGTGGATGAGTCTTCAGTGGAGCGATAGGACAGAGCCCCCGCACTGCGAGACACGCTCACCACAGAGCCACAACCCTGGCGAGGCAAAACCCAGAGGCACTTTATTTGAGTCAATTACCACTTAATCATCAATTAAAACAATAAGAAGCCAATAATTCATTAATCAACCTAGGAGTTAGGAGGGGCAGTTTGAGAGTGTGACAAAGACAGATTTCTGAATCTGTAGAGAATGATGGTAGAAATGTAACTTTCAGTGGAAAAAAAGCATCAAAACTTATTCACCAAAACTTTTAAATGTTTTTTAAACCAATTTAAATGGTGACACTATACATGCAGTTTTTATGTCCTAGATGCCCACAGTTGCTTCTTAATAACTGCTCAAATAAAAAATAAAATAACTGCTTCTACAAGGATGTGTAGATGAAGGAATGCTGAAGATACTGATAAATAAAGTAGAAATGGTGTACAGCTGATATTTGAGATGTAAAGTATATTTAAAAAGTGTTCTCACTGTAAGTTCAGAGCCAGGCTCCAGGGTGACAGGTAGAGCAATTTTGCCCTGCAGGTTGAGCTTCGTCAGGTAGAACACCTTCTCTCCCAGGACCTTCTCTTTTTTCATCCGTCTGATGCTGTACAGGCGGAAGCGAACAGCATAGTCTCCCAGGGCCTCCTGCTCCACCCTGGAAAACTTGAATGTTTCTGTGAAGATGGGACACGGGCCCTTCTGAACGCCGGTCTTAGCACGTTGCTTCTTGGTGGGCAGCAGGACCAAGTGGACCTGCCACGAGATGTTGCCGGTCTGTTTGAGAGCAGGAATGTCAGTTGCAGCTGTGACAGTGACGGCCAGCCACTGCTCACTGGAATCGTACTCAAAGGCGACATCCAGGGTGCCGTATTTGGCGAGGGGCTCTGGCTCGTAGGCAGTGGGAAGCGGAGGACCAGAACCATCCTGAATGTACAGAAAAGAAAAAACAATTTCCCCCTCCTTTATGAATTTTACTTTAATTTCTGGAATGTTATTAATTTTTCCCCATTCTGACATAGTATTAGAACACTCAAATAATTAAGTCAGTTCAGAGTGTATTTCCACATTTTTACAGAAAATACACAACAAAAAAATGAAACTGTTGTCAGCGAACGTATCACCCAGCCCTTCCTGTAAGTGTTGATGAAGTGTTGCTCCCAACTTTGATCATTCCATCAAACTACAGGGCATCCAAAACAAACTGCTTACACACAGAAAAGACAACAAACAGTAGGTCTGATCTCCCACCTCTGGCCCTAGAACAGCAGTGCTGTCACTGGGTATGTCCTCATCACAGGCTTTGTTGAGGTAACTCTCTGTGTCCTGGTCCCCGCTGGCCTCGCTGGAGCAGTGGGGGCTGTCACAGTGCTGTGTGGACAGCGCCCTCCTGACCCCTCGCTCTGAGCGGGATCGAGAACCCACGCAGGCCCCTGAGCCCTCGTCTTGGTACGGTGGAGGCTGAGGTTCACCGAGCGAGGAATCTTTCTTTATCCTCTGGATGCTGCTGGCTGCTCTCACGACAATGACAAAGAGGGATGCAGAAGGAGTGTTACTGGAGTCGTACTGTGCTCTGCATGGAAACTCACTAGGTATGCAACATACAGTCTAGCGACATACAGTGTCTCCTCAGTCTTTGCAAACCTATATTGTCATTTTAAATTCTTGTTAAATCTTGGAAAAACAATATTTCATGTACTAATATAGTGGTGTCAACCATAAGGTCTGGGGGCCATAATCGGCCTAGCAAAGACTCTAGTCTGGCCCACTAGATGGAAAATTATAAGACGTGCAAATATATTTAGACTTTTATTGTATTTTCATACATTTTACACCTTTTCCTACTGATAAAGCCACCCCCACCCCCAACCACTGTGCTTTATACTACTACTCCTGTTTTTGTGCTATTTAATGTAGAAATGTGTTTTTGTTTTTAACAGTGAGTCCACTTTTTTTAAGGGAATAAATGGAAAACTAAGTTTTATAATTTTATAATTCCAGGGTAGTCTGGGAAATGAACTACCAGAACTTTTGTCATTTTATACATTTATCATGTAGTTTAACTGTTCAGGCCCACTTATGGCCAAAATATACAAAGAAAACATTCCCTGTAAGCCAAAAGAGAAAGTAAAGAAACACATTCTCACTCATTATGTGTTTATACAGCTCTCTGCACTGAATCATACTTGGCTCTCTTCCACAGCATGTCTTTTGTCCTGTTTTCCTCCTCCTACCCCAACCAGTCGCGGCAGACGGCCGCCCCTCCTTGACCCTGGTTCCGCTATAAGCTTCTTCCTGTTAAAAGGGAGTTTTTCCTTCCCACTGTCACCAAAGTGCTTGCTAACAGGGGGTCATATGATTGTTGGGTTTTTCTCTGTATGTACTATTTTACGGTATACCTTACAATATAAAACGCCTCAAGATGACCGTTGTTGTGGTTTGGTGCTGTATAAATAAAACTGAATTGGACTGAATTGTAAAGAAAGCTCTTAGAACATTAGTTAGTTATCCCAACTGGCAAAGACGCACAGTAAACAAGGTCAGACAACAATAAGGGAGAAACAAAATGACAAACAGAACAACGCTGTCATCCCTTATGTAGCAGGTTTATGGGATAAACTCAGGAAACTCTTCTCCAAGCACGACATCCCAATGCACTTCACACACAGCCATACACTCAGACAAAAACTGGTTCATCCCAAGGACAAAACTCCCAAACACGAACTGAACATCGTAGTGTATGCAGTGCAGTGAGGAGTGCTCAGACCTCTACATTGGAGAAACCAAAAAGCCACTTCATAAACATAGAAGAGCCACCTCGACAGGACAAGACTGAGCCGTACATCTGGATCTAAAGGACAAAGGTCACTCTTTCGAGGATGTCAATGTCCACATTTTGGACAGAGAAGACAGATGGTTTGAAAGAGGATGAAATAAGCCATCTTTGAACAGAGGGTGTGGCTTACAACACCAACTGTCTGCCACCTATAATGTAGTTTTGAGATCCCTTTCCAGGTGCCTTTAATTCCCATTAATACCTTGCAATGGTTTCACATGAAACCTCTGCTGATAATAACCCACACCCTTTTTCACACTTTGGCTCGTGTGATGAGGCACATGATCAATACTGGCTCCTTATTCATATTCATATTAAATCTATTCATTAAATATGCATCCTGTGATTTTTTTCCTCATCACAATATTTGACAAAAGCAGCTTTAATTAAAACATTTAAAAGATCATTTTACAACAATAAAGATCAACACCACATTATGTTTGTGCAGTAAAAAATGAAGATACAGCCAGTTAGGTTAGATTGGCCTGGCATCTGAAACCTGGCAGGTGAACACAACACAATCAAAACATATCACTGCATAAAGATAGAAATAGTGGCTTTTAGAGATTGTAGCATGAGAATATTTGTTACTTCTGGATCAATCTGGGTGAGTTTTTCCCCATTAGTCCTGAGGGTAGTGTCATTATTGAATTATAACCAGATTCATGTATTTGGGTGTTAGACTGCTATCAATTTTCTATTCCAAGTCTGGGAAAGAAACCAAATAAATTTTACTTCCTTCTAGTAACAGACATTTAGCACTAACCCAAGATGTTTAGAGAAAAGGACACTTGCCAGAAACTCTCCATATGATCCACCAAAGAGACATTGGGGCTCAATGAAACGAAACCCAAAATATGTAGCTATTTCTATTAATTTAAAAAAAAAAAACAGAATAGACACTACAATTACAGATAAATAAACACAAAAAGATGTTATGCATTTGATGTTCCGAGTTTAGTATTTATGCAATCTTAGATGATTCTTGTATGCATTGTGTTTTATGATTCTTATCATATTGTATCTGATTTTGTGGGGTTTTATGTTCAGCGATGTACCGTGTACGTACTTTTCCACTGCATGTGCTCTCACCCTGTTCACTGGAGGCCTCGCTGCTGTATCCTCCGTGCTCAGATGACTGTTTGCGTGTGCTGCTCCATGCAGAGGTTGTGTTCTGCTGGGCCTCGCCCTCTGGAATTCTGTCCTCCTCACTGTCTGATAAAACTCCCTCTGCACGTCACACATGGGCATTAATTCTAGTAAACCACAGATTATAACGTGTGCAATATTTAACGAAGTAAGAAACTCAACCAGTTAAACATGCAGCTGCTGAAACTGGCACACAACAGGTCAAAATTGTGAATTTTAGTGCAAGAACTTGAAAACATGAGCAGAAGAGAAGATCCAAAGGGCAGTGAGGAGAGAGAAGCAGCACACTCTCTAACCTTGGTTTCCTTTCTTTTTCCCCTTTTTGCTCTTCTTGCCTTTGTCCCTCTTTTTTTCCACATCCGAAGCCTGTTCAGTTTTTTTCGAACCCTCTTTTGCGACTTTCCCCTTTTTCTTATCCGACGTTTTCACTCTGGAAGACGATCTATAAAGCTCAGATTCTTCCTCATCGTCTCCCTCTCGCTCAGTGCCATCCTCTACCTTCTCTCCCTCCTCCTCATGATCTTTTTGCTCTTCCTGCTTTGACACCCTGCTTTCACTCTCACAACCAGATGAATGAGGAGTTTTATCATTGTCACCACTTTTTTGCTGAACAGCTGATTGGTCATTTGACTTCTTTTCTGTGTTTTCTAAATCATCAGCCTTCTCCTCTTGAGAGTCTTCTTCATTTCTCGGAGACTTGGCTTCTTTCTCCAGCTGCTTCTGTCTCCTTTCTCTTCTCCTCTGTTCTCTCCTCTCCTGTAGGTCCTTCTCCTCTTTCTTCCTCCTCTCTTCCTCTGCTAACTCGGCTTCTGTCTTTTTAACTCGCCAACATCCGTCCCTCCATTCCCACTCCAGCTGGCTCTGAGTGTTCTCTGCCTCAGTTGTATCACTAGTTTGGCTGTTCTTTGAGCCTGTGTTCCCCCCCTCTGAGTCTCTGGGCATTTGCCACATGCTTTTACTCCCGGACTTGCCTTCTTGCAGGGTGGAATTCTGACCCGATTCCTGGCTGCCGTTTTCTCCATCTTCCTTTTCCTGCACCTTGTCGATGATAGTAGTGACCTGTTCGGTCAGCTGGTCACTGACAGCATAGGTGACATCGCTGACGGCATTGGCGAGATCGTCCACACGACTGGTGACTGAGTCCAAGATGGAGGAAATGTTGACAGATGGGAGGTTCTGCTGGAAACTCTTGAAGAAGGCCATCTCTCAGCCGGGGTTCCTCCTGTCACCGTGCTGATCACTAGATTAGCTCATCAGAGGCACTGACACAACATGTGTTTGTTAGCATGGTGTGCTGGCAGTGTTACAGTGAGTGCTGACATGTACATACGCACCAATATGGTGGTAATAAGAATTATACTCGTTACAGGTCTCATGCTTAGACATTATCGGTCAGTGTCACGGATGTAGAGTAAGCCTAGTCATAGACTAAAAGAAAAATACAATTAAGACCACAAAAATAGCTTTCAGTTCAAAACTTAGACAAGACTATGTGTGTCACAGCAAAAGCAATAAAATGTGTATTATTCTGCCTTCAAAATAAGAAAATACAAAAACTGCAGTGTTACACATTTAATGGTTTAAGCCAACTGTGCTAACTCTTACTTCCTCTACTCTGACACTGTGCTGGTTTTGTCTTGGTGCTTTTTGCAAACAGCACACATTATGACTCGTTTGCAAACCGAACATTCAATAATCATAACAGCCTGAATCCACGGTGGATGAACTGTGGTAATTGTTGGGTCAAGCTTTTTGGCATCAGCGCTGATACATGCAACCAATTCTACACTGAACAACACATCACCACAATTCACCATCAGCCTTTTATGGCTGAGGGATAACAAGAGTTGGATGCACAAGTTTGAATTTAGTTTGGATTTTCCCTATTCAACCCAGGTTCAAAAAATATACATGCAGGCTAAAATGTGCTTACTTAAGCCTTCTAATAAGTGGTGCTTAAGGTTCTACAATGTCTTAACTTGACAAGGCCAAGGCCTAATTACTTCTCCTTAGTGATCATGATTGACTACAGAAAAATCATTTATTTGACAGAACTCAATGGACTGACCAATACTGAGAACAATAGGAAAGTCCAAGGAACCTTGGTGAAGACCTAAGAAGGACATAAGTAGACTTAGACAAGTTGAGAAGGTTTTAATTCTTAATCAGAGAGCAAATTCTGTACAAGTGTACAAATTAAGAAACAAAACAGTAAGCCGAGGTAATAGAATGACATCGTTTTGACTTGGAGAAATGTTGTCTCAGTTCATATGCCGTTGTATTTTTTTTAACAGAACACAGCTAAGAGGATGCAAAGCTGCCATTAATATCATAATGCAGCAGGTACAATGTTCAGTTTAAGCATGGCTCATAAAGATGTGGACGCGCTGTCATTACAGTGATGCCCACACGATAAAGCCGAGAGCAATCCAAACGTCTGCATAAATTTCTACAGATTTAATAGCGTAATAAATCTTTGAGTGTGTTCAGTACCTGGCTGGTTGTTCTTATAGTCACTGAGATGTGACAGATTGTCAGGACTCTCCATTGACAATTTGTTGTTGAGGTAAAGAAAAAACAGAGCCATCAATGCCATGAAAGCTGCAATGGAAGACAGGACACCCAGGAGCTCGGGAGAGACTGAGGAGAAGAAGAAGAAGAGGAGGAGCCATGAGGAACAAGCAAAGCAAGAACTGACAGAAAAAAAGAAATCCAAATGTTAGACTTAAACAGAAGTAATACCAAACCAAGGTATTTGATTAAGTAAGAAAAAAAGAGCCCCATGTTTTTCTAATAAAAATACACAAGGTGGTTACAAGCAAAAAAAAAAAAAAAGTCTTTTGATCAGGACTCCTGAAAAGCCGCAAACAACCCCAGTCAAATAATTTGTTTTGTGATAATATCTTAAAGTTGCAATAAAACTCCTGCCATTTTGGCTTGTCAGAGGAGAGTTAGATATTTTTCATTTTAACAGATCCACTTCAAAGGCACACAAGATAAAATCTACAGCACTGTATGTAGGCCAACCATACTTCATGTAACCATGCAGCCCTGTGCTATTTTTATAAGAGCCTCAAAGGGACTGTATCTAACTGAAACCTAGACTCAGCAAACCCAGGGAAAAAAACAGACCGGGCCTTGGTTTAATAGGCTACAACACAGACACAGCACAGTGTAATAGCCAGGAAACGGGGAAGAGAAGGTGGACAGTGAAGCATGAACTGCATTTCTAAAGATCACTTGAAAGGGCAGATTGCTAAATAAGAGACACTGAAACTGAGCGAGTTATAGGCACATATTACTGCCTTAACAAAATTTAATCCCAATAAAAAACTATGGGCATATTCATGAATTAATCCCTCTGCATTTCCATTTTTAAGGATTAGGTTGTTTTATACCCCTAATCCAAATTGTCCAATCATGGCTCATCGATTGTAACTAAGCAAAATACCAGAGCAATAGTATAAAAGAGTTTCGAGGGTTATGTTGAGTTGTTGTGTTATAATGTAACATAGCAGAATTAGATCGCACGTATCTCACAGCAGCAAACAACCAACTTTACACTGCAGTTACTCATTTAAATACTGTCTAAAAACGGCCACAGGCAGCTTTAAGATGCTGCTTCACGTCCCTTTAAGGTGAAATCTTACACTGCTTACTGAAACCTCATTCACAATATTGCCGTGTTGTTCCATTTTCATTTGTGACACATTATATTTGGTGGTATGAGTTTGGTGAAATTGAAGATGACTGTTTGTTTCAACATTAAAACAAAACAAAGACATAAACCTGAGGTATATTTGGGACAACTTGACGGAGCTTGACAGTTGTTACACATCTGCATTGCAGCAGGTAGTCACATCCTGAGGACCAATCACCCGTCATTGATCAAATTGGTGTAAAAATCTGGTCTCAGATGAGAAAACGAGAGAGGAAAAACAGAGGTATACTTTTGCAAACCTTGTTACTGAACTTATTATGGACCGACTTGTCTCACCATGGCAACAGGCAGAGATGACTATAGCCTGACAACTAGCTGCTGCCTGCTGCAGACTGCCAAAATGGTGAATGCTAAATTCCCAAGAACGGCAAAAGAAGTAGGAGGGAGATAAGAGAGCAATGTGACAACAGAGGCTTACCTCCTCTAAATGAATATCCTCTTTAAAGCCAGCTGTTCCCAAAAAGCACTGCTTCTTAAAGCACTGATAGTAAATGATCTAAGAAGAGGGAGGGAAATAACAAAGTTGTCCAGCTCAAAAGTAATCCTACATGTAACAAATCCCTGACACTTAGTCTGGTCCAGCACTCGCCAGGCTTACGTATCAACTCTCACTCCCGACAGCAGTGTTGATTGAGGCAGAATGACCTCTGAGGCTACGAGAGCAGCAGCCATCTGTCGAAAACGAACAGCTTATGGTCCTGAGCTGCGGCAAGCGATGACACTTCATACATGGCCATATTCTGTAAATGTCAACAGCAGCTGAATAATTCAGACACCTGGGGTAGGTAACCTGAGCCCCCCCCCCCCCCCCCAAACGATATACACTGGAAAGTGGAGCGGAGCAGCAAAGAGGCCTTTGAAACAGTTCGCCCTCCTGTTTTTACATAATACCTAGGAAAGTGTGATATCTCTCTTAAGAGCAGAGCAGATTAAGGTGGATTTTTTAAAAACTCCGCTCTTTCATCTCATTTTATCCTCCCTGAGTGTGTGTGCATGTGCAATCTGTGTGTGCAAACTGAATAAACAAGATAAAAATAACAGAATAAATCTGTTTCTCACAGCATGTGAACTCAGGCTGAACTCCGGATTCTGAAATGAGCCTCAGGATTCAATCTACCTTTTTTCCCCAGGTAATGACTCCAGCAAGCTAACAAACAAACATGAAAGCACAGCCACCGAAGCATTCATTGAGAAAATAAATAACAGCCTGAGAGAAATGTGAGCTAGTTTGAATGAAGTGTCTGTGTCAAATAAAACAAGGGAAGCAAATTACTCTTTCATGTTCCTAATCTGCTAAGACACAGAATGACTAAAATTTCGACATTGCGAGTGCTTGATTAATTTACTTTGTTTAAAGCTTTAAAACTCAGTGGCGTTTCTGGGACATGCTCGTTATGCAATCTGGAATTGTTGCTTACACATGGACCTCTGATACGAAACAAAACCTCCACTCTGAATAAATCATGAACACACAGCTGCCTTCTTTTGCTGAAGTGAACCTAAACTTGATACGCTGTGCATAATTCACACATGAACCGTGTGCTTACTGAGAAAGCTATAGAAAAGCATTCTATACATCATATTTCAGTAAAAATTCACAAGCAAAAGAGAGTGCCTGGGGGTGGGGGGATGAGCCAGTCTTCTCCAGTCATGCAACAGAAAGGCTTAAAAATGCACGCACAAAGGCCTGCTTAAGAAATGGCATTATATCAAAATTTTATAATCTGCTTACATCAGAAAACTCACAAAATAAAGCTGAAACAAAGATCTGGAAACTTAAATCTTAGCAGAGGATTGAAAATCAGCTTGTGCTGTAATGCATAACAGATGGTGAATACACGTGTCAGATTAACTCGTAACTGGTTAATGCGCACATATGTAGCACCTGCCAAGTGGTAAATTGGTAAGATAAAAAATATATGCACTAAATTCACAGCCGCTAAAGGAATACTTATATTCCCTGTATTTGTTTTAATTGCTGTTATGTTTGCCCTTTTCGTTCATTTCTTCTTGATCTTTTTGCCAGGAGGGATAAAGAGTTCACACATCTACATGTCAAATGATTATTTTATACCTGATGAGGGTAAAGCTTTTACATCTTGAAACAGGACTGGGTAATTAATTTTTCCCCAAGGGTCCATATTAGAAATTGGGGTTGCTGTAGATGGCCTCTACCTATAGCTCAACTCACTTTTGCTCATTTTATAAGCTTATTGGTCCGTCCCTCCACAACAGTCCTAATTTCCCATGTGGCCCCTTGGTAAATATTAATTACTAATCCCTCGTCTACTGTGCAAACAACAATAAAACTAACAAAAACAAAACATTGTCATAGCTTCCATGTTGGAAAAATGAAGCCAATGCATAAGTGCCTTAAAGCTGAATCGTGGTATTGCCTACTCATTCAATGACTAACAACTTGCCAATCGCAAATCATTAGCAAGTTAGCAAGTGGTTCTCAGTCAGACCCATCTTTTCAAATCACATCCGTTTTCTGCAACCAAGATGGTGACAGTGAAAAGGTTTCAAAATGGAACTTCAAAAACCAATGAAATTTTCACAGCAACCACTAGGGCTGTTTGATATAACGATATATACCGGATGACGATATAAAAACGTCTATCGTTTAATTTTACGCTATCGTTTGTTTCGCGGTGTCGCAAAATAAACTGTTTAGGGCAATATTTTTTCATCGTTTTGATGGTCACTGTAGTGGCTATATTAATTTCTTAAAG